GAGCAGACATGTTCATTTTTATCCGTTTTTTGCAACTATGCAATGCAGAAAACGCATATTGACGAGGTTGTCTGTGTGTCCGTGTATCTGTGTGTGCGTCTGTACCGATTTTTCATCTCAAGATCTACAAAAGCTACAGGGCTGAAACTTTGGGGACTTAATCTACACGCACGTACGGGCCCCACTCCCCAAAAATGGGCGCCGTTACCTGCGTGGTACCCGCGTACGGGCCCCAATCCCTAAAATGGGCGCCTTTACCTGCGTGGTACCCGCGTACGGGCCCGCGAAATTTTTTTCGGGTAAATTCATAACTCAGGGACCTGAGATGCTAGAAGGCTGAAAACTTAGGGTGATATTCTTCGTCCAAGTGGGTATTAATGAGGTCAAACCCAGCCCTCGGGTAAGCGTGGTATCACGCACGGGCCCGCCAAAGTTCTTTTCTGGTAAGTCGCTAATCGGGCATCTGAGAAGCTAGAAGACTGAAATCTCAAGGGGATGTTCAAATGAATATCAATGAACTCAAACCTTGCCCGCGGGTAGGCGTGGTAGCTACGTACGGGCCCATGAAAGTTTCTTTCGGACAAGTTGTTGTTACTCGGGAACCTGAGAAGCTAGAAGACTTCTCACGTTCCCGAGTAACAACAATTTTAAAGGAATGTTTCCTGACAGTCCTGGCGGTCAGTCTGAAATTCTTTTAGCTAGAAGCACCTGCCGGAAAAACCAGTGCCGTTAGCAACAAAAATGTGCGGGGAGCTGTGCAAAAAATCTTCGCACGGGCTGCCCGTGCGTTGACCAACTGTTAGTACTTGAGGTGTTTCAAGTTCGCGGATAAAGAGTTCTGCAAGTTTCATGTAACGAAAAAAAGATTGAAAAGAATCGCTGGCAACGCGTACCAAGCAGGCCGGTGCGACCATGCCTTCTGCATTATTTCATGCTATAGTAAAATTGCAAGGAATCCCAGTAGCCAGAATTTGTGAATGCTGGCCCTCGAAGTTCAGGTAATTAACTGTGCAGCCATGTTTGTGTCAGCTGTAGATGTCGGCTTCAGTGACCGACAAGCGGAAAGGTGCACGTGCGCGAAAAAGACTTTACTAGAAGAACTGAATGTGAAATCTCTTAGTCTACATGAGTAAGGGATATTCCCTTAAAATTTCAACTTTTCAGCTTTCTTCATCCCTGAGTTAGCGGTTTTCCCGCGAAAACTTCCATGGTGCCTGTACGCGAGACACAGGCGCGCGTATTAGATGATATCACATTCCTAGGATCGCTGAAAACGCATAAAAACGAAACTGTAAGCGCCTTCTTTCTGAACACCGCTGCACAGATTAGTTTTTAACTGACCGGTCACACTCCACAAGTCATTCTAACAACATTAAACTCTTCCGAATGATAATTAAAAGTAGAAAATATTAGCGTCAACTAAAACTGAATGAAAGCGCGCATCTCAGGTCAGGTGCGACCAAATATTCAGTGTTCTGTCCTAGCTAAACTGAAAGCGGCCGTATTTTTTTATTGTTTTTTTATTTCTTAATAGTTCTTGATGTGTCCGATGCATGCAAGGCACTAAAATTGTGGTTACACTTTATACATTTTGAAAAAAGCGTCCAGAGCTATGTATGAAGTTTCACTCCGAAATTACAAAAATAAAACGAATTTGAGCTAAAACATGCACATGCATCCAACATCATCTGGTTGATTGAGCCCAAAACTTCCAGATTGTACTGTTTGCTTTCACAAGTTATGACGCTAGCTAGAAGTAGTCACGAACAGAGATAGAATAATATAAATTAACTTCGCGGCCTAAGAAAATAGTATGCAAAATCTTCTTGCTCAGGTACAGGCACGCATACTTTTATTTACGCACAAGAGACGCACACGCGTTGTTTGACAAATATTTTATTGAAATC